TTTCCTGACATTATTTTCTTTTTTATGACTATTAAGTCCTTCCTCTTTGCTTGGTTGTAAATACAGGAAGTAGGTCAGCTCTTCCTTCTCAAAAGAACTAAAGAATAGAAAAAGAAGCTGTCTTTAACTTGACAGTACAGTGCTTAATATGATCCAACTTACATGCCAACTCTTTAACAGAGTGTTTACTCTAAAAAGATATGGGAGGGGCACCTGGGTGGCTCAGTTGGTTCAGCCTCTGACTCTTGGTTTCGGCTCAGGTCATGATCTTGCAGTTCGGGGGTTTGAGCCTGCATTGGGATTCTCTCCCTCCTTCCTTCCCTCCCTCCCCCCGCCTCTCTAAATAAGTAAATAAAGGTTAAAACTTTTAAAAATACATGTGGGAAAACATAATCCTAATTCAAGCACAAAGATTTAAACAGCAAACTATAACAAGGCAAGATGTAGGATCATTTATTTTGTTCATAGCTCGAAAACAGTTCGGGAAGGCTGAATAAGTTGTAGTTTAGCATGGGTCGTGGAGCCTTGGTTCAAATTCAGGCTTTCTTTGTAATTATTTATGAGGGTTATTTTATCTTTCTGTGTCTCGATTGTCCTCATCCATAAAATGGGATTAATATTAGGAGTGACTATGTAGAGCTATTGTGCCTGACACAAAGCAAGTTCTCAGTAAAGATTAACTATTACTGTGGACTACAAGTCCCACATCTTCCATATGGGAAAACCCATCTAGAGGGATGAACAAACCTGGCAGAGCTAGGACTATGGTTCTTATTCTCTGATTTTCATCCACCCAAGATGGCTGTCAAAGTCTGTCAGGACAAATCCTTTCCACTGAGGAAAATAAATTCTGCTTTTACTAGGGGAGAAGAATTGTCTGATCTATAAGTTAACATGGAACATGTCTAATTTTTGAGGTATCGGAAATCTACCATAAACAAATACTTGAAAATGAAAGATTTTTTGGCACATGCATACTTCTGTTTGACAATTAAAAAAAATCAAAGTGAAAATCTCCTTATGTTGATCATATAACATTACACATAAGAGCATAAAGTATGCATTACAAAAAAAAAAAAAAAAAAGAAAGAAAGAAAAGAAACCTTTGTGTCTCCTGAAACTACTCAATCTACTATGCTATTTCTGTCAACAGAGTATCAGGTTCTAGACAAACAATTCCACCCAGACTTTTGGGTCAATGCTATTTAATATCATTTTAATTTTTTCACTATAAGCAATGCATTATGAAATATGGTTTAGAGTTTAAACTGAGATAAGCCTTTTAATGATCAGGAGACAAATATTATAATAGCTTTTTTTTTAATTTGGAATATGTAGAGAGTTCTTCAAGTTCAGCAAGCATGTGTAGACCATTTTTTCTATATACACCATGATTTCTTTACAAGACCAGAGCGTGCTACATGAATAGACCTTTCCATAGGGCCTCAATTTTAATTTTCCAGAGTTTGGAGAAGCAGTATCCATCAAGTTCCCTCAACTGTTGAGAATAATGCTGTTTTTGTCACACACAAGGTCTGTTTTGAACTCAAACATACACACCAACTGTAGACCATAGACTTGCAGACCTGTCAGCACAATGCCCCATTACAGATTGTCCCTTTAGCAAGATGACTTCATTTTAGCAGCCTGTTCTGGTTTCTACATCCTTCCAGGTTTCACAGTTCAGTGCAGTCAAACAAGGTGATGGCATTTTTAAGGCTCTAGATTTTATTGGTCTATGAATAAAGGTAGGTGGCCAGGTACCATTTCAGGGTTTCAGCTGGCAACCTGGTACTAAATTTGAGTACACTGAGACTAAGACGGTTGCAATTTTTTTTAATACTGGAAACATAAACACTGGCATTTATGGAAATGGTTGCTCTAACAGGAAGTGATTTCATATATCATTAGCTGAAATAAGATTATGGGAATGTCTAACTTTAATCTGAAGTATCATTAAAACTTGGGACATACTATTTCTCAAGAAGAATTTATTAGAATCCAAGCAACCCCTATTTGCATTTTGAGCCTTCTACTTATTGGATGCTAATAAAAACCCTATACCATGGTACTTGCACATTTTTAATTTCCTATTAAGACATAATCATGTCTGAAACAGGCACATATATGGCCCATAAACAGCCATGCCTGTTCTCAAAGTTGTATATATTCTTTACCCAGGAATAAATTTTGCTCAAAAATGGACTGTGCATGTACTGGAAAGAAGAGAGTCAGTGAAAGACTATAGTAGGTAGAGAAAAGCTAATGAAGAGACACCTGGCCTCATAAGACTTTAAACGAATTCTTGGCTTTAATAGGAGTGAATGAACAACAAAAAAAAACCGTCCAGTTATACAATAAATAAGTCATGGCATTGTAAAATATAGCACAGGGTATAGTCAACAATATTATGATAACTTTATATGGTGACAGATGGTAACTAGACTTCTCATGGGAATAATTTTGTAATGTGTAAAAATACCAAATAAGTATGATGTACACCTGTAAATAATAGGAAATTTTATGTCAATCGTGCTTCAATAAAAAATCGTTTAGGTGTTTTAATCTTTCATTTCCTCCCTTAGAATAGAAGCACTAGTAACATGTACTCACAGGCTGGTGACTATGAAATGAGACAATGCACGTTAACAAAAAAACAACTAAGATTTGTCTGTTCTTTCTCTAGACAAATACTCTGCCACATCCTGTTTGAATGTGCTGTGTTTTGCAAAACGATATATAAATAAAAGGAAGCATCACTTGTGTAATGTGTGCATGTAGTATAGACATAACTTGAAAAGTATGTGGCTGGGGCGCCTGGGTGGCGCAGTCGGTTAAGCGTCCGACTTCAGCCAGGTCACGATCTCGCGGTCCGGGAGTTCGAGCCCTGGAGCCTGTTTCCGATTCTGTGTCTCCCTCTCCCTCTGCCCCTCCCCCGTTCATGCTCTGTCTCTCTCTGTCCCAAAAATAAATAAACGTTGAAAAAAAAATAAAAAAAAAAAAGAAAAGTATGTGGCTAACTGTAGCTAAATATGGAACACTTCACCAATTTGGGCATCATCATTGTACAGGGGCCCTACTCATCTTCTCTGTGTCTTTCCAATTTTAGTGTATGTGGTGCAGAAATGAGCTTGACTAACAGTAACTAAAAACCAAAGAAATGAATGTACAAAACTTGCTTCTGTGTTTATTGTTCTTGGCTAACCTCAGTGATTTTAGAATTCTCATGTTCACTTTGATAATTAAACTCTCTTGTCTGCTGCTTTGTATAATTCTCTCCTTTGTGAACTGAGTTCAGTGAAATGCATTCTATATGGGAATGCACTCTCAAAAGCAGAACTGGCCCTTAGGTGTCTAGGGAAGGTCATTCATTCTTGTATCCAATTTTGTCCTATAAGGGCTATGCAGCTGTCCAAGTTTTGCTTTTGTTTCACAGATCATTTAGAACAATTTGAAACCAACAAAACATCAAAGTTTTAAAAGCAGGCTATTCTCAATGTAAAAATTAAAGTACTTGAGGTGAAACACAAGCTCACTCTCCATGAGTGAGCAAGAAAGAAATTTTGGAGACCTCACAACTTTGCTTTGATAATTGAAAAATGCAACACAATTAGAGTCCAAGTAAAATTTTTTTAAGACATTTTAGGGCATAGGCCCAATAGATAGGAGACCCCAGGGTTGCAAATATTCTTTAAAATGGTTAGCATCTATTTAAAGTAGGGTTAATTCAAAAGACATGTATCTGCACAATAAGTATTGATGTCCTCTGGGATTCTGGTTATGCTTTTTATTCTAAACCTACTTGGAGGCTCACAGGATCTGAATCCTGGTTTTGTAAATAATTCATAAATTTATAATCTCAATTTTTCACTCCAGTCCAATATCTCTTCTGTACTTTGTGTCTAATACCCTACTCTATCAATTCCAGTGTTTTCAAGGAAGAAGTGTTCAGGATTTCAGTTACCAGGAAGAATCTGAAATCTTGCCATTTACATCTTTTCCTGGGTGGCAAAAGAGAAGTTTGAGAAGAAACAATTCGTTTTTAAAGTTTAAATCTAAATGAAGGCTAGCTTTCTCTTTTTTGCTTCAGTAGAAAAGTACAAAATAGAGTGCGTAGCCTGCTTGGGATTCTCTCTGTCTCTGTCTCTCTCAAAAATAAAGAAATAAACATTAAAAAGAAGAAAAGCACAAAAATAGAGTATAACCCAATATTTTGTTATATTTTCACTTTCATTGGAAACACAGTAATCCTAATTTCAAATAATAAATAAATCCTAGCATAATTACACTATAATATAACACAAAATTTATAGAACCATAGAATCAAACTAATTTGGAGGAAGTTGTTTTAGATTCTTATTTTTCTGAGTAATACCTATAGGTGAATAGTGACTACTTACGTTAGTAAAATAAATATTCAACTCATTCAGCTAACATACTGTGTGAACCAATGGGGAGAACTTTGTTGAATGAATAATCCAAATGCATCATGTGAAATGATAGGAACACAGAAAGGAATAGATAGTACAATTTAAGAAAGAGCTAGGTTAGAGAGTCAGAAATCACTGTTCTAATTTTGCCCCTAAATTTGATCTTTTCTTTAATCCGGCCTTCTCTTCTCTATCTGCTCCCTGGAGACAGAGGACTAGTGTTAGCATTTGGAGCCCCAGAAGAGGACAGAGCACTCTACAGGAACAGCTGGCTCTCAGCGTGTCTGAGTGACGTGAGTGAAAAGAAAATACGCAGTACGTTAAACCGCTGGGATGTGGTGAGGGCTAGATACTTCATACTTCTTATCTTGGCTAATACAATGATCTCAAAGGGTTGGGGTTAAGAGTAAATAAAGATAATATTTAATGCACCAGCATAGGTGCTCATGTAGTGTAAAGACTCTCTCCAAAAATTCCCTTTACTTTCTTTTTTGATTCTTATTGATATTACCTGTAAATCTGAAGCATGTCGGACAATTTTTATTTATAATAATAAATAGCGTTACTTACTTTGTGCCATTCATGGTACCAAGCACGAATGGATGTGTTTACTTCTCTATCATCATGAATGATCATTGTCATTGTCTTCTTTTTACTGATGGAGAAATGGGGCATGATCTATAAGAAACAGTACATGACACAATTATTAATATAAAGATCATTGAAGGTGACCAGGAATATGACTACAGTTTATTAAAACAATATAAATTACTCTAATTCATTACAGAAACATTTCTCTGAAATGAGTCAACTAAATTTGGCCTTTTTACCTAAAAGCTACAGTAAATCAGTTTCTCATATGCAATTATAATGAGAAAGCAGATCATCTCTTTAATGACCAAACTTGGGGAAAAACACAAAACACCATGCCAACAAATGCAAATTAAAAAAACCCAGAAGTGTATTAAGTGAGATACTATACGTTAAACTATTAGATTATACGTAAGCTTCTGGGGAAAGTTTTTATTGGGAAGTGTGTGATAAAATCAGCAAAATATACTTTAGGAGATATCTTAGCTTCTCCTCACTAATAGAGTTGTAAATTTTAATTGTTTCTTTTGAAAAGTATCTTAGAATAATGAAGTACTATCATAAGGAATGATACTGCTTGTTAGAGAAGAAACTCCCCTTTATTAGCTCATTTATCAAATATCAAGAATAACAGATCCAACTTTATTAATTTTATTGAAAAAATATGAAAAACAATAAGTTTACAGTAAAAGGCTTCACTCTAGTATTCTCAAACATAAACACAATTAGAAAAGAACCTATAACAGGTTTTCAGATGAATTTTATTTGTTTAAAGATACACACTATGCTAATTATGTTACTGTTATTCTTAGGGGGTGGTTAAAAAGGCATTTCTTTCATCCCCTGCTATTATTTAAAGAAAAAGTAAAGAGGTAGAAAAGAGGCCATAGAAAGGCAGGAGATACAGTTTTTTCTAAATATCTGTCTTTTATAAGTTCTAGATCAATAAATTTATTCTGTCAAACATTTTAAAAAGAGTAAGTTTTTGGGGGCGCCTGGGTGGCTCAGTCGGTTAAGCGTCCGACTTCGGCTCAGGTCATGATCTCACAGTCCGTGAGTTTGAGCCCCGCGTCGGGCTCTGGGCTGACGGCTCAGAGCCTGGAGCCTGTTTCGGATTCTGTGTCTCCCTCTCTCTCTGCCCCTCCCCCGTTCATGCTGTGTCTCTCTCTGTCTCAAAAATAAACAAACATTAAAAATTTTTTTAAAGTAAGTTTTTGCTTTTATAAATACGAAATATATCAGTTGTAAATATTGAATAACTGACAATTACAAAACATGAGTGTTAGAGTAATTAATTCACCCACCCATCCATTCATTCATTAAAAAATAGTGTTATTAAATACCACTACTAGGTACTAGATATTGTTCTAGGCACTGAGATAAGGAGTCAGGGAAGTGCTGAGAAAGAGATTATCTACTAGTATTCAGTCACTAACAGTATAATTGTAGCTTGATTATCTGGCTACATATCAAATGTATTTAATGTAATATTTTTAAAGGAAAGAAAGTTACTATCCATTTTCTTCAATGTCAATTCCTTGTTTGCATACTTTATGAAGGTGCTATGTGCTCTCAAACACTCTTTGCCAGACTAGAGAAATTGTATATTGGGAAGTATTGAATATCATGCCTAAAAAAATACAAGTCTGAGTTTTTACTGTACTGAAAGTCTGATACTTAGTTGATTTTAAAAATAAAATAGTAGGGCCCCTGGTGGCTTAGCTACTTAAGCATCTGACTTCAGCTCAGGTCATGATCTCATTTTGGGAGCTCCAGCCCCACACTGGGCTCTCTGCTGTCAGTATGGAGCCTACTCGCGATCCTCTGTCTCCCCTCTCTCTCTGCCCCTCCCTTGCTCGTGCTCTCTCTCTTAAAAATAAATGAACGTTAATAAATAAATAAACAAACAAATAAATAAAAGAGCAATGACAACAATAATAACAAACCTGAGGTGTGTCTGAACTAAAACCAAACTACGTGTACGTATGTATTTAAGACATTAAGGGGAACGCTCCACATTGTGAGTCATCAGGGAAATGAAAATTGAAACACCAGTGAGATATCACTCACTGCACACCTATTAGAGTGGCCAAATCTGGGACACTGACAACAGTGCATGCCGTGAGTAGAGGAACAGGAACTCTCATTTGCTGCTTGTGGAAATGCAAAAATGGTGCAGCCACTTAGGAAGACACTTTGACAGTTTCTTACAAAACTAAACACGCTCTTATCATATGATCCAGCAATCGCACTCTTGATATTTACCCAGACAAGATGAAAAGTTAACGTCCACACAAAAACCTGCACGTGGTGTTCATATAACTTTATTTATAATTGCTGGGAGTTGGAAGCAACCGCATGTCTTTCAGTAAGTGGATTGATAAATATCCAGAAAATGGAATGTTTTACATTGCTAAAAGCTAAAAGGAAATGAGCTATAAACCCATGAAAGGACATAAAAGAGCCCTAAAACATATTACTAAGTGACAGAAGCTACTCTGAAAAGGCTACATACTGCGTGGTTCCGACTATATAACATTCTGGAAAATGGACACATATATGGACACAATAAAAAGACTGGTCCCAGGAGTGGGACTGGGGGGAGGGATGAATAGGCAGAGCCCAGATTTGTAGGGCAGTGAAGATACTCTCTGTGATATCAAAACAGTGTAAGAATGTCATTATACATTTGTCCAAACGCAAAATTTACAGTACCAAGAGTGAAACCTAAAGTAAACTATGGACTTTCGTTAATGATGACGTGTCAATGTCGGTTCCTCCCTGGTAAGACATGTATCATTCCGGGGAATAGTACTGACCATAGGGGAGGCTGTGCTCGTAACTATGCATGTGTGAGGTGGGAGGGTACAGGAAGTCTCTATACCGTCCTCTTTATTTTCTCGTGAACTAAAATTGCTCTTTAAAATTTTTTTTAATGTTTATTTATTTTTGACAGAGAGAGAGAGAGAGACAGAACATGAGCTGGGGAGGGGCAGAGAGAGGGAGACACAGAATCCCAAGCAGACTCCAGGCTCTGAGCTGTCAACACAGAGCCCAAGGCAGGGCTCGAACTCACAGACCACGAGATCATGACCTGAGCCAAAGTTGGACGCTCAACCGACTGAGCCACCCAGGTGCCCCTAAGATTGCTCTTTAAAAAAAAAAAAAAAGTAATCTTGAAAAGAAAAAAAAAAAGAAAAGAAAGGGAAAAAAAGATTAAGAAGGAATAAAACTGGAAGATTCTTTGATTCAAACCAGAAATGAAACGTATTTTATTCAATGAATATTTTCTATTTGTAACAAAGTAAGAGGCACATTTTAGGGATTACCAAGTCATACAGATATATTCCTGGCAACAGACGGAGGGGTGTGGGGAGTAAATTTAAAAATTTTAAAATAATGTGAAAGAGAAAAGAGAAATTCTTCACAAGACTAGATAGAGTCTTAATACACATAATTTTGTTGGGGGGGGCATCAGTTGACATGCATGGAAGTCACATTTTTAAAAAAATATATTGATGACTAACCTGAGAAACATCTTAGAGCAAGAAAGGTGTTTTACTGTTTTATATCCGTTGAGCCCAGCAGAAAGCAGCTGTAATAGGCCGATACTCAGTAACGAGCAAATGAAACAGTGAATCAATGTGAAAGAATTATTAATAATAGGACTATTTCCACACTAATGGAGCTTCCAGAAATTTGCATGGGAAGATAGTATTCTTTTTAGTATATATATTTAAAAAACTATATTTCCTTCTCAAATTAAGGAAAAACACAATTCTATTCCTTATTGATATCTGTTAAAACTATGGCCTTTTCAAGTATTTATTTATATAGGATCCCCTTCCAGATGTGCTGTGTGGTGTCACATGGGAAACATTTATCTTCACGTACTTCTAAATCTCTCTTATATGATTCATACTGAATTTCAGCCCAACCACCTTTAAAAAAAAATAAAAACAAACATTCCCTAAGGTGCTCAAGCTCGTGAGTTCCAATACACCATATAAACTGCAATAAACCATATGCTGCAGGAGTCTAGAATAAATAGCCCTTTTAAAAAACTGAGCTGCCAACAAAATTGAGATTCCATTTTTAAATGATATTCTGCAAAGTAAACATTTTTCAAGCTTGATCTTTGTGTAATTTTTCACTGGCATTTTTCAAGCTAGAAACAACCTGCACATGTTCTTTTCGTAAAGAAGGGTTTAATACTCCACTGTGTCACCAAGTCCCAGTGAGCTAATTTGTTCTAAAGACAACATTACTACATCAATACAACGCAGCTTAACCTTCAACTAACCTTATTCTGTTTGCTTTCCACATCCCAACTGAGGCTCTCAGCCAAAACGTCCCCTCAATTCTGGGTTCATTTCTCTCTAGGTAGAAAGTATGTGCATATAAACTATGCTGCTTTTGTATATCAGAGAAAAGGCAACATTCACACAATCCAAAAATCACACACACACACACACACACACGCACACACACGTGCACACACATGCATGCACACACACTCCTTGCTCCCTCTCTTATAAAACATGGAATCACTTCAGGGAGGCAGAAGGTTTAATAGAAAACTCCATCTTCAAGCGAAGTCCCCAAAGAGAAATCGTGAAAACCCAGAACAAACCCAAATCCCACAGCTTAGTGTTTGGGCTCAAGTCTGTTTATTTCTTCTTTTTTAAGGTCTCTTGCTCTCACATCCTTTTTCCCATGAGCAGATGATGACAGTTGGTGAAACTGCCATGAAACCAGTTCTTATCTTAATCTCCTCCATTATTTTTCCCTTAGCTCTCCTCTTCCAGATCCAAAATAAAATAGGTATGCTTTTAGTGTTTCTTCATTTGTTGAATTCTGAAATTTAACTGATTTGTTTGCATTCGAACTTGCTAGCACTAGACTCTCCTCTGTGTCGAGGTGATGTTCTTTTCCAATTTTCCCTTCAAAAATCAGGAAACATTAGTATGTTGAAACAGTTTCGAAGAAACTTTATTCAGACTTTATGCCAGTTAGACCAGTTGAAACGTTCTCAGGGTTTTTTTGTTTGTTTGTTGTTTTTACAAAAAATAAACATTCTA